GGGGGGGGGGCTACTAATTAGACACACTTTGCACTAGCAGGAGGTACAGCTCCTCTTAGGTAGAATAAATAACAGATGAACATGTATGCTCTAAAAATACACTTATTTTATGACCTACATGTAGGCCCTATGCTATATCTACATCTCTGCCTTCTTTCCTTTTTTACTCCTCCTTTTTTACTCTTTGAACCGAAGTGTCCATCCTTTGAAATATTGTAACCTGTGTGTGTCAATAGTAGGGTGTTATACTGATGTGGGGGGTTTTTGTTGTTGTTTTTCCGATCCAGTGGCCCTTCGGCCTGAACGCGTTATACTGATAACAAGAAAGAAAAAAAAGAAAGTTATCACTCTTTAAGGATGGAAGAAACATACAGCTTAATGCTCAGGACTGGGGAGTCATTTCAGGACAACTGGGACACTGTGATAGATTGATTTGAGGGTGTTGTTACGTTATTCATGGATGCTGTCTCTTTGTGACTTTTATTCAAATCAGCAAAAGCAGAAACTTACTCAATATTTTACCTGACGATCTTGTCATATTCCATCCCAATACTTATGAAAACTCAATTTGTTGATGGTCGGAACACATAGTGTGTGAGATAAAAAAAAAAAAAAACAACAACAAGGGTAAACAAGAGGTAATTTATTCATAAAAACTAAAATAAGTGCAAAATTGTACGCGGTGGACATTAAAGCTATATGTCGTGACGAACTGTAAAGTTATGGCCAGATAAAGACACTCGTGTTCCAAATACATGAAGGATGTAATCAAAATGAACGACTCCAGCTGGGTAATAATACAACAGCAAACTACTCATAATTCTGTACATTGAGAACTAGGCACAGAAATGATCAAATAGGTCTTGGCGTTAATGAAATAATAAATGAAAGCATGAAGTGGGAAGACATGATGGGAAAGATAACTACAAATGGAACCCAAAAAAATATAACTAATATGATATTGGTAAATACACAAACATAGAAGGGAAAAGTGATGCAGAAATGAATACACTGACAAATTTTAAAAAGCATTTAACTAAAATACAAATTGATTTATCTAAAAAAAAAACACCTACAGCTAAATACCTGAATAATAGCTTATTAATCATTATGGCAGATAACGATAGTAGGAAAACATCATTATTACCACAACAAATTCCGAGTCATTTCTTGCATAACGCAGAAGAAATCATTTCAAGGGCAGTCTCTTTCTCTCCAAACCATCACTTTGACAGAGAGGATGAGAGAACACTTCAGATTTGAACCATGAACTTTCCTGTGTTGGACAAGTTTGAACCCCTCTTTAATTTTCTCTAACAAATGGCAAAGAGAGGATTTCAGAAGATTTGACAAGGAAAAAATCCCACATCTAACGGTCTTCAATGACAATACAAATAACAAGTCTACAGTGGATTCTCCTCAGTTAAGTTATTGTCCAGAACTCACAGACAGACAATAATTTATCCATTTAAGTCATCACACCAATTTTACAATTTTCTATCTCAGGAAAATGACTTTTCTCAGAACTCATTCTTACAAAGAATCTTAGCTGAGTCAACCATAGCCTGTTAACTACAATAACACAACAAAACAAAACGAAAACAACAAATCTTACCACATAAATACAAACATTCCTCTTACAACAGACAAAATGAGACAGATTTTATCTGGGTGCCAACGGTGCAATTTCATCAAACATTTACACGGCTGCCACATACAAACTTCTGTTAGCTTCCTTCTTCACTTTAGTTGAAGAAATTCGGTCTTATTTTAGACCACTTTTGTCACAAAGGAAGTGTGAAAAGCTTTTTCAGATTTGAAATAAACTATGTCAATAGTTTTACGCTTCTTTCAAACAAAATTGGAGAACCTACAATCGTAAAGTCAACGTACGACAGGATGAAGTCATTTTCACAGATACTGGAAAACTTTCTTATAAATTCAAATAGAATTCTTCATATAATCCTAGCATGGACCTGGAGACAATGAGAAAAGTGTCTTAAACACTATGCCACTCAGATCCCTTTGAAAAATGCTCTAATAAAAAGTAAACAATGATATTATTGGTTTCCAAATGAGTTCACGGTGGTGAATATGGTAGAATATTGTAGAACCTCGTCCAAGTGAACGGGAATGCTCCATCCCCAAGTCTTTTCCTCTCCTTTTCATTTGCCTCCCAGTAAAAGTAGAAAACCTCATCTGCTCCACTCCTTTTCCTTTGAAAGCACAACAAATAGCATGTGCAAACACTTATATTTTTACAATTACAAACAAACACACAAACAGAAACACACGCACATCTTTGATATATACACACAAATACACACACACAAACACACACACACACACACACACACACACACACACACACACACACACACACA